TTGTCCACATTAACCGTGTCCACATTAACCGGACTCCACTGTATTGAAATTGAAAACTTTTATTTCGCCGTTTTTAAGAGCGGGTTTCCTGAAACTTTTACGGTCGGGAATGCTATTGCCGAATGCTAGCGTCGAATGTTCGCTCGCTTTCCATACTAATTAACGAGAAAGTCCCGACTTTGTCTAAAAAAATAAAATTTTCTGGTGGGTTGGTGAAACACATGTATATTTCGTTTCGTAGCTCCAGGGTTTATTGATTTATGTTCTGAATCGAAAGATATATCTTCCGAGAGTCCGGTTTTGATATCACCTGGGAAACGAGTATTTGCTAATTTGAGCATAAGAACATACAAGTTCATTGGTAAAATTCTGTTTTGTCGATTTTTGGCAGCTGCGAACGAGATGCCTGGGACGTCAAGCAAATCCGACAAAATATCGTTTGTTTCGGGCAACCCTACTGTTGAAAAAACGGAGGGAATAATCCACCTCTTCAAGATGAAGTTCATTTATTTTCCTTATAACATTTAAAGGAATAAAAAGGAAATAACAGTTGGGTGCCAGACTTCAAGCATGCTATGCATGCTAGGTATTCCCTCGAATATAACTGTAAAAGATTTACTGAACTTTTGCGCTCCAATGAGGTTTTTATTTCATTTATTTCATTCTAAATTCACTAGAAGAGGAATTTTGGAGCTGAAAATTGTCAAAGGTAGTCATGTCGGACATTATATGGCTTTGCTAAACTTCGAGAACCAAGTACCGACTCAAATTTACTTTACCATTTAATGAGGAATATGCTCATCGATTTCACGAGGCGTTGAACGGGGTTGCATATAATAGTTTTGAGCCTGACGTTTGTCAACTCGCATACATATCTCACGTCGAGGCTATTCACTCCTCAGTGGTACGTTCACACTGAATTTTTGGATTCTGGTGTATGTAGGGTGGTTCTTTTCCTCTGCGAGGCCTCGTTGAGTTGCCTTCATGTCCGGTTTGTCTCGAAAAATTGGTTGGTTTTTGTTTCTTGGATATAATTATTTTTCATAGGACGAACCGGTACAAGGTATTCTCACAACCATTCTTTGCAATCACAATTTTCATGACGAGTGTATATCTCAAACTACGGAAACAACGTAATTTTTACCTCATTTCTTTGCTACCTATGTCCCTCCTCATATATCTACTTTCGTATGTTAGGAAAAATTGCACGCGTCGTGAGTCCGTCGACTGTATATGTAGAAGGTGCTAATTTTCAAGATATTAGACATTTTTTGAGTTCAAGTGCCAGTGTTGCTTTTTGCAATTATAAACTACCACAGATTCCGGAGAGCAGTCATTGTCTGTATGAAGATTATTTATAGATCTTTGTCCAGGGTCATTCTGTTTACGAAAGCAAAACTAATGGAAGGACTAGTTGTTAAAATACCAACATGCAACTCCGACAAAAGCAGCCAGTTTTCATTATTCTCAAGTTAGAAGGTCTTTAATACTAAATTAACAGAAATTGCATCATTCAAAATCGTGACGTCAACTGCAAAGTTCTTTTTTTCCCAAAAGCCAAACATGTTCTTTTTGTTAGAGTCGCTCCAGGTGCGTCACTGTCTACTGTTGGATGATATGCATGGGTTCATCGTCTTAATAGTATTTTCTTCTATAAGCTTGCACGTTGCCTGCTCCCCATTGCTTTTTGATTGTTACTGTTGAGATTAAAAATCACGCGTCAGTAGATTAACACTACTTCGAATATTCCCGAGTGTAAGCAATGGAATGCGGATACGTAACTCAAGTGGGAGGTTTTCGATGACCATATGACTAGGTTTTATGTCTCATGGTAAGGGTCTGTATTACAGCTGAACAGCGACTGCGAAATAAATATATGTGGCCTTCCCAGTCTCGTATCTTTGTGTAACATATTTATAGCTCATTGAGAATCATCCCTCCGTTTTTAAGGTTACTTTTTGTTATTTTTTGCAATTGTACGTGACAGTGCTTTCTTAGCTTTTAAATTAAGTTCAAGATTGCTGGAGATGCTTTATTTTCCCTCAACCACTTGATTATTTTTGTAGATGCCCTGTTTGCCGGTACGTTCAGTCTCCCGAAATGGTTGCTGACAGCCAGTGTGCTGATTGTGAACTCCGTGAAAACCTCTGGATTTGCCTGATTTGTGGTCACGTCGGTTGCGGTCGCTATGGTCAGAAACACGCACATCGTCATTTCCAGGAAACAGGACACACCTTTGCCCTCGAGTTGGGTAAGAACTTGGTCTGGGATTATGCAGACGATGCCTACGTACACCGACTAGCGATGAATCAGGAGGATGGAAAACTTGTGCAGGTATCTTTTGCTTATGCGAATTTGTGAGTTCTTTTAAAAATTTAGTCATTTATAATCCTATAATTAGAAAGTTTCCGAATTACTGTGAAGGTACCCGTCACAGGGTACCTTTTTCTGCTAACAAGAAGAAGGAAAGGGTCATAAAACTGGAGTCGGGGTTGACTGACTGTTTTCTTGAGCTTTTTGCAACTGCGGCCTGCAATTTGAAGTTGTGCTCTTTCAACGAAGACAGCTAGAATTTCGGGTTGGCGCCAGTCTAATGTTAATGTGTAATTTTGTTTTGAATTCATACTTGCTTAGTTACTAATTGGAAATATCGTCAAATAGTTGCCTTCCCGAAACACTCATTATTTTCACAACCCCGTCCGTTTTTTATGTTGCCTTACTGCCCTTGCATCGACCTTTTCATATTTTGCTCATACGGCCGGTTTTCCGTATTCGGTGGCTTTTATTGTTTGTAGTTATGGTATCAAAACTTAGTCCTAACTTGGTCCAAACTTAGACCAACTTTCTTTGTAGCTAGGTGAAGGCAGCGAGACTGGCGATAAGAAATTGGACTATCTCAACTCCGAGTTCAGTGCGATAATGATAAGTCAGCTAGAATCTCAGCGACAGTACTTTGAGTCACAGTTGGATGTCATTACTTCAGAGTCCGCAGCTCGAACTGCGGACATAGAGGTAAAATTGGAAAAGACTCAGTCAATGGTCTCCTCTCTGGAGTCTAAGGTGGCAGCCCTTACCAAGGAGAAGACAACACTTGCCCAAAAGCTATCTCAGGTATGTGGACGTTTTCCCCCCGTATCGAACGTTATTTTCGTCTTCTTTTAGCCTTCTTGTCGAGGCTTTATTAAAGCAGTTTTAATTATTGAAGAACATGCTCTCAATGATGCATCACTTTCCAAGAAATGGGAATTATACAACGTCCTAAATGAAGGTTGAAAATATATCAGGGCTTTTGCCAAGTACAGTAGAAATACACTTTTCAAACACAAAGCATATTCTCTGTGACCTTCAACCTAATGCGAATTTTGCTTTTTATGGCCGCACATTCATGCCGCTAATAATTTATCCCTCATTTAAACCATGCAGTGAGTGCGATAGAAGATTAATTTGATTTTCTGCTTGCCAGATGCTCCATCGATTGCATGGCCTGCGTAGGTTGAATTCAAATCGAACTCTAGAGTTACCGCCGAAGACCAACTGTACATCATTGTTGCAGGACATTTAGTCATAAGGACAGATTCCAAACTTTTTAATTACGTAAGCGTAATTAACTTACACAGAAAGCCAACACATCTGTAGTGGCACCATATGATCTTACTCATTGATACTGCTGGCCAAGTCTTCTCAGAGTAGTATTTAATGACTTCGCACGAGAGCTTATTTCATGAGTCGTCGCGGATTCCGATAAAATTGCGAAACCAGGCAATAAGGTATTTATAGTCCCTTCACTTTCAGAGGAATGCCCAGAAAAGAGGACCAGCGTTTACATTACCTTTATGGACTTAACCAACGCCTTCAGCACGTTAAACTGCGATGAACTAATAAATCATGCCGAATTTCTGTTATTAGTACAGATAACTGGGTGATTGCATAACAACATGTTGAAAAATGCCACGTGAATCTGCCTATATCAGAAGCATTTGCGGCGACAAACAGGATGTGTGTGTGTCGTAGCCCTTTTTGGACCAAGAGGCCCCGCCAGAATCCAAACTGGTTGTAGTTGGAAGACGAAGAAAAGTTGAAACCTCAACCGGCTTGAGCCAAACGCTCTATGAGGGTGAGGTGAGTGCCTGACCGGGAACTGCAGGTGAAAAAATGCTGACAGTCATGCGGAGAGACATCGAAATCGGGACAGCTGTCGGATGTGGATAAGTCGAGCCGGTGTTGATACCGGCGAAGGAGCAAGGAGTAGCCACTGCTTAGTTGAGCCAAAGTACAGCGAGTGACT